TCAATTTTCTTCATAATTAATTTGAAACAATTAGCATCTGTTAGTTTGTTTCCTTAATTTTTGTTAATTTAACTGTTAATTTTCGTAAAACCGGGACATCCGGGACAAAAAATCAAAATCCGGGACAAATATTGCTTTAAAAAAAACCCGGGACATAAGATGGAAATCCGGGACTGTCCCGGCCAATCCGGGACGTATGGTCACCTTATTAATAATAGTAAACTTATTTGGAAGATAGTAGTATAACATAAAAACAAATAAATATTTTATACTATACAAATCGACAGTTGCAATAGAAGAAGTTAATGATTTTTAATGCAGAACAATTTTTTTTTATTATTTTTTAAAGCCTATCTATTATTGTTTTTTCTTTATCTTCGTAAACAATTAATATTTTTACTTATATTATTATTGTAATCGTAAAATTATAAATCTAATAACTACAATTTGATTTTTTTGACTTAAATAAATACAAATACTCTCATAAAATTAGAAAGAAGTAATATTTTAGGAGTTACTTTTCGTCAAGCTTGGATACACGATCTGATAATATTTGGTAGCCTATTAAGTGAATTTTAAGCTATATATTTCATAAAAAAATATTTTTTACCAATAATTCAAGCAACAACAAAAAGTTGCAATGCTAAATTTTACTATGAAGAATTTAACTTGAAAAACAGACGAAAATATGTGCAATTTATTCTGTACGTACCATATGTGAATTTATATTTTTAAATATTAGATAACGCATATTTATTTTTCCATACTTTTTTTAATGGTCACATAATATTTGTAGATATAATTTTTCTATTAACAGCAATGATAATTATATTTATAAGACGCAGTTATAAATATTTAAAATATTTATTTCAAATAAATTGCCATTCCATAAAAAATTAATTAGTTGCCAAAGTTCAAAGTAAGGTATAAAATGATTTTTTTATTTAGGTAAAGAAATTCTAATGTGAAATTAACTCATTAAATAATCAATTAGAATTGCTGCATAGAAAATTAGTTAAAATCATAAAAGAACCAAAATCATATTATCATATATATTATATTTAGACATACTAGAATAAGTAAAATATAGTTTGGTTGTACGTGAGCTGGTTTCTCAAAATGTTAATAAGACAATATTAAAATGTGACATATATTTAATAATAATAATTCATTATATAAGATTGGGCTAGGATAATACACACGTCTTGCCAAATTTTAATCTCGATATTTTTAAATAAATTTTAATTTTAGTTTTTAGAAATTAATTCAGGCCCATCAAGGTCTGTCCGAGGCTAGTTACCTAATTCGACCGAAATAGAAATTGGATAGAAGTAAATGTATAAGCAACTAACAAATATTGAAATAAAGAAAAAAATCATTCTACCAAGATGTTGTACGAACAGGTCTAAATAAGGTTAAACATAAAATATTTATGCACAAATTGACTAACTATATAATTAAAAGATCTATCCATGAGCATGAAATAAATTTGCAATAGTTTTTTTGGTTACATTTATAACTGCAAAATGTGAATGTTGAGTTTTCTTTAGACCTAAAGGGATTCGTGTTATTCAAAATTGCCTTAACAAGTAATTAATGTGCCTAAATTTACAAAGTGTAAATATAATATAGATTTGAGCAATATATTTTAAGTGTGTTTTGGATATATACTCAAACGGTTTATTATTATAGGATAGCATTTTAATGTATTTTTATATAATTTTTTTACATTTTTTGAATAAATATTTTAGCATACTTAATAATCATCATATGTGATATAACAATAATGTTGAAATATACAAAATTTTGTAATTTTAATATAATAATTAAATTGTGACAATAAATAATTAAAAGCTGAAATCGGTTTGGGCATTTCGGTTGTTGAATTGCATAAAAGTTTTAATACTTATAGCCCTGGCATATAAATTTATTATGCTAGATTTAATTTTATGCAAATGTTGTTTTGTAATCAAAAGTTTTAAATTATGTGAATTTATTGAAGAGATAAAATACTCTTGCCGAATTACCAAAGATTACTATTTTTGCTTTTAATGGCGTGCAATAATTCTCATCTAATTGTTAGTGCAATATTTTACTACAATCAGTAGTATTTATTTGTATATAAATGGACTAAAGGGTTACAGCCATAGTTAAAAGCATTGAGTTGAAGCGTTATCATAAAATTCTGACAAATATTCTTCAAAATAAATTTAAAATGTATTCGAAAAGTTTTAATTTATATTTTTGTTCCCTATTCACGCTGAAACACGTTTGTAAAATAAATTAAATTAAGTAGTATAAAAATTAAAAATTAAAATATTATATATTCATAAGTTTACTATATGGTTGTGTTTTATATGTGTGTCTATTTATATCGATATTATATATATATATATATATATATATATATATATATATCGTTAATCCGTCACAGGATTATTTTATATTACTTTTTTACCCTAATTGTTTTTTTATAAAATCATAGCTCTGAATTAAAAATCATTACATGGAATTGTTAGCAAATACCAATTGCATGCTAATCTTGCCTTTTGTTCAGGATTTGTTTAAGCTTTTCGAAAATACATATATTTTGCAATATATTGCAATTTAGTGCTTTATCTTTTTGACAATATTTGTAAATGTTTTAAATTCAGATATTGAAATATCTACTATTCAAAATATTCGATCCTGTTCATGATATTCATATAATAACTTTGGGAATCTCTAATGTAAATATAAAATTGTTGTAATATCTATTCTTAATATTAGTGAGTAAAATTGATACATATCAAATTAAATTAAATATTATTATTTTAAATTAGAAAACGTTTCTTAAGGTTAGTGATGTTTAAATATGACTATATATCAAAAAATTAGATGAGAAACCCAGTTTTGAAGAATATTTATAATCTATTTAATCTTTGGATATGGCTATATTACTTATAGAAAAAATGTAATTAATATACGTATTATTTAAAATTATTTTTAAATAAAAAACATATGTATTCATATAGATTTGTTTCATTATCAGATTTAAGTCGATTTTGGTACTTAGTTAAAAGGGCATTGAAAATACTGTGAAAATTTAATATTTTTTTATAAATATTTATGTTGCATAATGTTAAAATCATACAACGGTTTAATGCTCATTATTGTACTTGCAAATATTAATATGGAAATGCGTAATAGTTTATTTCTAAATCTATCTATTGCCGTTTTTACCGGATTATTTCTAAATCCGGTAAAAACTATTTCTTAGAAAGCGGTTTGCAATTGCTTTTGAATTATTAAAAAAAAATTAGTAGAAAAGAACCAAATTATTATATTAATGATATAATATATAATGTTTAATGATTAACCAACGTTTCAAATTACAGTTGAGAGTTGAATTTATATTATAAATAAATTATTTATATAAAACATGTGCTTACAACTTCTAAACCTTGATAACTATTTAAATAAGTGATATATTATTAAAACTGAAACAGTTTTTGAATATTTGTATAATATTATACGTATTAAGGTTACTCGAAAAATATATTAGGTACTATTTCATCTCTGTAAAAAACACATATAATACCTATACATAATACGTAATATAATATTTAATGTGTTGAATTCAAAATTTAGTAAAATGTGTTGAATTTTGTGAAATATAAATCAATGAATATATATCCATGGTTCAGATCTTACGAGACCGAAGCAATGGAATGATAAATGGGTGAAAGCTTCGGCCTTCCAATCAACAAGGTTTCGAGTTTAAGTACAACCTAGTATCAAGCAGTGGTAATATCCATTTTTACTAGAAAATATAAACCTAAGTATATTTTGAATTGCAAGTATTGGCGCAACATTACAATTAAAAGCATATAAAAATGTCAACACCACAAAGAGAAAAGAAAACATTTGGGTGTTTACTTATATAAAGCTGCAATTTTATCAGAACCTTTTATGGAATGCTCAGAATTGTGCTGATTCAAATAATAATAACAAATAAAAAGACGGGACCAAACAAATAAACTATTAGAAACAATGAATTAACTTCCCGCAGGGTAAGTTATAGTAATCGCAAACAAATCGAAAATGAAAATTTGATATATCTTTACGTTTCAAAGGTTTCTGAACATTTTAGCATATCTTAGAATAAATGGATGTATGTGTGTGTGTGCGGATACAAGTTTTCGTAGACGATTTTACGAACGCGGATCAACCGATTTGAATAATTCAAAATCATTCGATTCCTACTGATAAGGTGACGTGCTGATTAGTTTTTGGCAAAGCCAAGTCGAGTTGTTTCGGAGATACGGGGCACAAAGTGCCAGAAATGGTATTTCAGTTTTTGAGATAACGGAGCGTCCGATTTAAATAATTCAAAAAACATTTTACTCGTATTCAGAAAATTAACGTTTGAATGCTTTTGTAAAGGTAGGTCTGGGGTCTCCGGAGATCCAATAAAAAAGTTACAATTAATGCCATTTGGCGGTCAAAAATGATCATTAGACATATGTACATCGTATTATTAAATATTTTATAAATATTATAATAATAAGTACAAATTTTGTGTACATTTATATGGGTTCCGTTCCAATGTTTGCACGTAAGACGACTACGCGGCGCTTACGCGCTTTGATATTTCGACTCTAAATAAGCTATGCAGCGCCATTGCTTAAAAAAATGTTCAAAATTTTCAAGAAAAGTCAAAATACAAAAAATCTAAAAAATCTAATTTTTCAAAAAAGTCAATCTTTTTCAATTTTTTTTCAAAGTTTTGCGAAGTTTTTTTTAATTAATTATTTATTAATTTAGTTTTTGTCACGGGAAGTTCCAGCAATTTGCCTTAAGGCACGATGCCATACGCATACACCGCATCCGTTTTTATTTAAGTTTATAATTTTTTCACAGTTGGCCGGCCTTGTTTCATTTTAGCATCGTCGTTGAGCGCCGCCAACTTCACTTCTAAATGATTTTTTCATAATTGAACCTTCCACTTGAAGTTGCTTGAAACATCTGCTATCTATAATATTATAACCTCAAATGCTTTCTAACGTCAAATGACTAGTTATTGATAAAAATAAACTCATAAACAAAGTAGTTTTAAAATTATTAATAAAAATACAACAAATATGAGTATAGGAACAATTGCAAATCAACATTTAATTTTAACAGGTGACAAAGAAAGGTAAATAGAAATAGAAATAATAATTACATCTGTAACATGACTTTGCGAGGAAATTTTCGCATAGAATCAATTCGGATTCTATCAATTAGTATATTAATTGTATTTTTATTTCTATTTATTAAAATACTATTCATTGCTAATTTGATTGGTTTTACCTTTTTATAAATATTATCTTTTGAGCAGTAAAAATGAAATTTGCATCTTTTTTTGTAGAATACTATAAATTCAGTGATTTCATACAACAAATAAATATCTATTCAATTTGTGCTATATTAGGTTTACATGACGTTCTCATTATTAAGACAAAGTAATTTCAATTGAATAAAATCCTCTCCATTTACCCGGTTATTTATTTTAAATTCAACGAACGAAATTAATGGGTTTTATTTTATATCACTTACAGATTTAAGGAACTTTTGCAGTTGCGACTTATAGAATGTGGTTGGCGAGATCAAGTGAAATTACTTTGTCGCCAAATCGTTAAAGAAAAAGCAGATACAAATATCACTGTAGATATGTTAGTAAATGAAGTAACACCAAAAGCCAGATCAATGGTTCCCGATACTGTGAAAAAGGAACTTTTGCATAAAATTAAAAAGCAATTGCTAAAAAATGAAAAACTGGATATGGAGTAAAAACTTATGTCTATTTGTAGAATATTTGTGAAGTCTTTTATGAATTATGATACTATATGCTAAATCTATATTTCAAAGTAATTTGTAAGTTTTTTTGTTGTGGATGTTCGGGTATAATTTGAATACAAATGTTGCTATGAATACTGTGTCAATATTATAATTTACCTAATCAATAATATTGATTCCTTTTTAATTGGTGCTATTATTTCATGAGATTTATTTGATTAATGGCTATAATTTGAAACAAAATTGATTGATTGCAAACACTTCTATTTAATATATAATTAACATGTTCTGCATCTAATCTTACATTATACATATATACATACACATTACATTAAATTATTAATTTGAAATCTCTTGAACAATTATGTACTTTTTCACTATTTCTATAATTAACAATTAAAAATAACATTGATAATGCAAATCCAAAGTTTTATCTGACTCCAAAACATTTGATTGATAGTTACTACAAATTGTATTCAAACAATTCATAAAACAATATTTTATTAACAATTTTAAAGCATACTTTGTATAAAACATTTTATAAAAATATTTATTGTTCTGAATCCTTCTTTAATAAAAACAAATTAACTAAATGGCGCATTGTGGGTCTACCGTGGGGACAATTCCAAGGTTGTTCCATTGTTCCCATATTATCAACAAGTTTTCTCATATCAGCTCTCGTCATTGGGGACCCAACCATAACAGATTTTCGACATGCTCTAGAAGCTAACATACTTCTAACACGACTTGGTCTACATGTAGAATTATCGCCGGAACTATCTTGTAGCATAAATAACAATTCATCAATGTCTTCTTTGCCAAACTCAAAATTCTTACTCATTGGTATTGCAGATAATTTTACTCTTTTAGTTGTTACAGCCTCTTTATCTATTTCAAATTTAAAACCATTTCTTTCAAAGACCTCTAAGTTATCTAATAAAATACTTTCATTCATTGCAGTCAACTCTAATGTTTGGGGAACAACTAATTTTTGGTTTACCAATGTTGTAGTTTTCTCAAGGTTTTCAAAGTTGTATTTTTCATCAGATGCATGCTGATCTATTATAAATAAGTCATCTTCTAATTGGACTATGATGAAACCCAAATTGAATTGGCCAATAATTGTCATTTTTGAAAACATTTCTTTTGATATTTCACGTTCAAGTTCTTTCTCAGCAGTTTCATTAGAAGATGGTGTGATCTCTGATCTAAATTTGATTCGATTTAGTTTTGATTCTTGTACTTCTTTAGATTTTTCCTGCATCTGCATTCTTTGCTTAATATCTTCTAATGAGCATTTCATTTCAACTTTTGGCCTGTTCTTGTTATATGCAAGATCATTGTCTTTTTTAACTTGTGAGACTTTAGTTTTGTTCTTACACTGTATTGATTCATCAGACGTGTTACTTTTTTCTTCAATATTCAACTCGCATGAACTCTCATCTTGATCTAGAGAGTATTCAGCATCACTATCTTTAAAATCTTGTCCTTTATTTAAATCATCCTCTGAAAACTCATTTATAATTTTGGGATTAAAAACAAGATTCAATTTGGGTTCATTTTTTACTTTTTCAATCAAGGATTTCTCCTTGCATTCATTGGTTTCCTTTGATACATCAATTGGATTAATTTTTGATGTAACATTAAATTTTTTTTCGTTATATGACCCTTCATCAACTTCATCCTTCTCATGAAAAACATTAATATTCTTAGGCATGAAAATAGGATTATTTTTCAGTGATACTTTAAAATCTTGTATATTGCTCTTATCTTCATAATCAGATGTTTCTTCTGCTATTTTATCCATGGGCTTAAAATTTGGTGTGGTAGGACCCTTAGCTTCATCCTCAGAATCTGAACTTAAATTTGGAGTTTTAATATCAGTAATTGCTGTATTAATTATAGTACTATTGTCATTTTCTGAAGATAATTTAATTTGTTTTGTATCATTAGCAAATCGTTCTAAAAAACTCATTTTTCTTTTCAAACTTGAGTTTTCACATTTACCTGTTTCATTAGGCTTTTCTAAGTTATGCAAAGCGTTTTTGGTGAAAGTTGATTGATTGAAATTGCTTGCATCCAATAATTTATTTTGCAATTTCATAGTGCCAGGTATATTTTCAAACAGTTTCATTAAAGCTTGTTTCAGAAGCGTGGTGAGTACTTTTTCATGATTTAAAAATATCTGACGTTTGTCTGGTGTAACATTCACATCAACATCTTGGTTCTCCATTTTAATATTTAAAAACACAAATGGATTCTGATTTCCATTAAATTGCTTATAAACTTCATTTACAACTTTCATTATTTTTGTAGGCTCACATGGCCTTGAATTAATATAATAAAACTGCCGATCTGGTGCTGATCTGCCAGCACCATGGGCACAACTAGAGATTACACCTTCAATTTGAAAGGGAGATTTTTGGCATTTTCCATTTTCTATATCCATAACATCAGCCGATTCTGCTATATAAGTATTCAATGGTTTAATTTCTAATAAATTTTGATTCTGCTGAGACCCAAAAATATTTACTATATTATCCCTGAGTGTACTATTTGCTTGTGTTGATACAATAATTGTTCTACCATAACCTTTGTTCTGATTTGTGCACATAATTTTTGCATGAGTGGAGATTAAACAATAAGCATACAAAAGTTGGGTCATTTTATTAAACTCTCTTTTAATATTTTTATGAAACTCTTTCTGGCGAACAGGCAATGTATAAAATATGTTGACTAATAGAACTGTTGTTCCAACTTGCCTAGAGCAGGGTGTTTTCTTTATGATCAAACCATTGTGGTCAAATTCAATTTTGGTACCTAATTCATCATTTTTGTGGCGTGTTGTAATAGTTACTTTAGAAAGAGCACATAGTGAACTTAAAGCTTCTCCTCTGAAACCAAATGTACTAACACCTATTAAATCGCTATAATCTCGGAGCTTTGATGTATGATGTTTTAAAGTTAATGCTTGAAAATTTTCTTCTTCCACACCAGTTCCTACAAATAAAAAAGAATTTAAATGGTAATTAATTTGCGATAAGCGATATTTGAAATATATTTTTTTTATTCTAGTTATATTTAAGAGTAGCATATTGAAAAATAAGATTATGAATTGAACTGGTATATAATATGTAGATAAATTAAATAATTTAGAAATATTAGAATTGAAATATTAGAAGCAATCGAAATGTACCATTGTCACAAACTTCTATAGATTCTTTGCCATGTTCTTTTAACTTTATTTCCACACAGGTTGCCCCAGCATCCAAGGCATTTTCAACTAGTTCTTTAACAGCTGTTCCTAGATTTAATACAACTTGACCGGAACATATTTGATGAACAATTTGTTTATTTATAGCTTGAATAGATTTTGACTTTTCTGTTGTCGGTAATACTTCTTCTTCGACATTGTTTTCTGCCATCATTTTCAAAAATTATTCAAAAAACGATAAACAGACATATAGAGATAAAACTACTATGCTCTAAAGGTTTACATTATTTTTGTCACAAAATAAAGTTATCATATGATGCCATATCATATTAACGATGTACATTAATATTTTGTTAAGAGAAACTCTCTCATTATTTAAGTGAATTTATTTATTTGTATCGGTTCATTTTTATTTGGCGCCATTTGAAATGTCAAAAACTGACAGCTGACAAGCTTTTGATTGTCAAACCATATTTTTAATCCAGAGGTACCAAACAATTTACTTACTAATATTATTAATTAAAATCTCCATTGATGCTCTATTATCGGCAAAATATATATAAATAAAATTGTAATAATATTTCTAATTGTAGTTGTAATTGCAAATGAAGAAGAATAACGTTTGATTTTTGCATCGAAACAAACGAAATATATTTGAAAAATGCATGGAATATATTATTTTTTTATTATTACAATACTTCAAATGCAAACTATTACATGCATAAACTCGACATTAAGTTTTCAAAATATTGACATAAGTCCATTCCCTGGAAGAAGCTATGACGCATTGCTGAACAAAACTCACGAACAGCCTCAACAGCCTGTAGAGTCGGTTAACAATAAATTATCAAAAAGAATCCAGTCGCAGATAATAGAAAGTAGCAAGCAGGTTACTGTACCAACAATGTATAGAAATATTGCTAAACGAAATAGATCTGCCAAGAGGGTTGCACCAAGTTTTAGGTTACGCAAAGCAAGTCAAAAAACACAAAAAAATTTGCCGGCTATTGGACTGAGACGTAGAGCTCATTGAAATGTCGCCTCAAGCTCATCAGTTAATTTTCTTTGATCATATTTCAATTTGATACTGAATAATTAGTTTCAAATGTAATATTTACTACAAATGCGATTTGTGCACTTTTGAAAATATATGTTAAATTTGAATATATTTATATAACTGATTTATATACATTATTTATTATTGATAAATAATAATAATATATTGATTGATATGCATTATTCATTATTATATAACTAATTTTTTTTTGGTATTATTTTAGCAAAATGAAGCCTGAATAATTGTCTATATTTATTATTTTTGATAACTCGACGTTCGATTGGCTGTTGAATTGATTTAAATAATTAAGTAAATATTCAAATTATATCTAGAATATATATATATATATATATATATATATATATACCCATTCATTATATCATTATATAAACAAATAAAGTTAATAGTTTACACTAGAATAACGGAGGTTGATTGTATATCTATTTTGCCTGATTGAGTCAATTTGACTCAATCACTGAAAATGCAGGCTTTTTAAAGTGATAAATTTTTATAACAAATAAACCATTTTCCAATCACTTTTTTCAAACATATTTAATTTTTGAAATACATTTTTTTGCATTTGCTACAAATGCCATTGCTTCCGTTTCTGATGCATGATACTTGTACCTGGCAATTTACACTGTTTTCAATATTTTTTATATTAGATAAAGTCGAAGTACTCTTGGCTTTATTTTCGTAGATACCACTTAAGTCTTCTGCCAGTTGCAAAAGAAATTCTTTTCTTGACACTCGTTTTTCAGTCACATCTTTATATATGGCTCAAGCCGTGATTGCAACCAAATCTGACTAAAGTTTGATTTCAAATTTA